CGAGCGCAAGAATAGACACCTTATTGAAACAACCCGTACTCTTTTAATTCATGGTGAGGTTCCTCAACATTTTTGGGGTGATGTTCTTACCGCTCGTTATCTTATTAATCGTATGCCCTCTTCGGTTTTAGATAACAAAATTCCCCATTCTATTTTATTTCCTCATGACACTCTCCATCCTTTACCTCTCGAAGGTTTTTGGGTCTACCTGTTTTGTCCACAATTTTGATCCTGGTCATGATAAGTTATCTCCTCGATCACACAAATGTGTTTTCTTAGGATTTACTCGATCCCAAAAAGGATACAAGTGTTTTTCTCCTTCTCTTAATCGCTATTTTGTGTCTGCCGATGTCACCTTCAATGAGTTTTCCTTTTACTTTAAGGACCCTTCCCTACCTGCTGAGTCTCCATCTGCTACAGTTCCCATTCCTGTTCTCATTGATCCTTATGTTGAGGACCATCCACCATTAGCCCCTCCTCCTCCACCACCCCTTCAGGTTTATAGTCGCAGACCTCGCCCACAACAGACGCCACATGACTCACTCCCAGTGCCAAATACTCGCATCCTCCGGCTCAGTCCACGTAGTCCGACCTTCCTATTGCCCTTCGTAAAGGTACGCGTTCTACTCGTAATCCTTCTCCACATTATACTCGCTTTAAGTTATCATCGAATTTCTTCACCATTTTATACCTGTCTCTCGTCTATTTCTTCTGTGTCTATTCCTAAATCTGTCTCTGAAGCCTTAGCCCACCCTGGTTGGCGTCAGGCCATGCTAGATGAACTCGGTGCTCTTTAGACTAGTGGAACCTGGACGCTTGTCCCATTACCATCTGGAAAATCTGTTGTTGGTTGCAGGTGGGTCTTCGCTAGGGATGGCAAAACGGGCTAGGCCCGGCGGGCTGGCCCGCCAGCCCGCCATAATATGGCGGGGCGGGTTGGTGTTTTCAGCCCACCAGCCCGCTTTGGCCCGCCCCGCCAAGCCCGCCAACCCGTCGGGCCAACCCGCGGGACGGGCGGGCCAGCCCACGGCCAGACCTAATTAATAAAAAAATAATTTTTTATTGTAATAAAATTAATTATAAAGATAATATATAAAGTTAAAAATTTTAAAAAGAGAATTAAAAAAGTTTCATTCTCACGGAAAATATTCTCCTTCCCGAAATATAGCCTTCTCTCCTGTTCTCCTTATTTATCCTAAGCATCGATTATATTTATCCTTATTACTTGAATTAAAGATATAAGAATTACTCAACCAAGAATAATATGAAGTTTTATCAAATAAAAAAGATATAGGTATTTGAATTTTACAATATAAAAAATATAAATTTTATAAGTTTAACGTTATTTATATATATATATATATATATTTGTTATTATTTATTATTATGTAAATTTTATTATTGTTCTAAATTATAATTTCTTAAAATAATGTATTGATTTATATTATTAAATTGAAATAATATATATATATTAAATTATTAACAAACAAATAATAATCTTATTATTAAATTTATTAAAAAAATTATTTAAAAAAATTATTTTTTTCTAAATTATGGTGGGCCGACCCGCCAGCCCGCCAACCCACCCCTTGGCGGGGCGGGCCAAGGTCTACGACCGTCATGACTATATCGGGCCAGCCCGCCCCACCCCGCTTTTGGCGGGCCAAAGGCGGGGCGGGCTGGCCCGTTTTGCCATCCCTAGTCTTCGCTATCAAGGTTGGTCCTGATGGTACTATTATCGCCTCAAAGCTCGCCTTGTAGCCAAAGGCTATACCCAAATTTTTGGGTTGGATTATGGTGATACTTTCTCTCCAGTGGCAAAGATGGCTTCTGTTCGTTTATTCATTGCCATGGCTGCTATTCAACAATGGCCTCTTTATCAACTAGATGTCAAAAATGCTTTCTTGAATGGCGATTTGCAAGAAGAGATTTATATGGAGCAACCTCCGGATTTGTTGCTCGGGGAGTCTTCTGGATTGGTATGTTGTCTTCGCAAATCTTTATATGGCCTAAAACAGTCTCCTAGGGCCTGGTTTGGAAAATTTAGCGACGTTGTTCAACAATTTGGCATGACTAGAAGTGAGGCGGACCACTCGGTCTTTTACCGTCACTCGAATCGTCGGATGTATCTATTTGATAGTGTATGTCGATGACATTGTTCTTACAGGTAGTGACCATCATGGCATCTCTCGGATGAAACAACACCTTTGCCACCATTTTCAAACCAAAGATCTTGGCAAACTCGGATATTTCTTGGGTATTGAGGTAGCACAATCTACCGATGGCATTGTTATATCTCAAAGAAAGTATGCATTGGATATTTTGGAGGAAACTGGGTTGATGAATTCAAAGCCCGTTGACACACCCATGGATCCTAATACCAAACTCTTGCCAAATCGGGGGAGCCAATGTCGGATCCTGAACAAGTATAGAAGATTAGTTGGAAAATTAAATTATCTTACGAGTTACTCGCCCCGACATTTCCTTTGCGATCGGTGTGGTGAGTCAATTCCTCAATTCTCCTTGTCAAGATCATTGGAATGCAGTCATCCGTATATTGAAGTACATCAAAAAGTCTCCTGGAAAAGGTTTGGTGTATGACTCCCATAATCATACAAGAGTTGTCTCGCTATTCGGATGCCGATTGGGCAGGATCTCCTCTCGATAGAAGATCTACATCCGGGTATTGTGTTTCCATTGGTGGTAACTTGATCTCATGGAAAAGTAAGAAACAAAGTGTTGTGGCAAGATCCAGGTGCGAAGCGAGTATAGAGCTATGGCCTCAGCTACCTGTGAACTTATTTGGCTCAAGCAATTGCTTAAAGAGCTACAATTTGGAGATGTCACTCAAATGACACTAGTGTGTGACAATCAGTCGCTCTCCATATAAGCTCTAATCCTGTCTTTCATGAGAGGACTAAACACATTGAGATTGACTACCATTTTATTCGGGAAAAGATTATGTCCGGAGACATCAAGACTGAGTTCGTTAACTCATGTGATCAATTAGCAGATATTTTCACTAAGTCTTTACGGGGACCTAGGATGGATTATCTTTGTACCAAGCTAGGCACATACGATTTGTATGCTCCAGCTTGAGGGGGAGTGTTAGATATGATTAGATATTAGTTGATATTGTTTGATATTGTTGAGATATTGTTAGATATTGTTAATCACAATATCAAATAATATCTTTTTATTTACCCTATTTGTATTCTGTTACTCTTTTGAGGAGTACCTTTCTTTATTATAAATACATTGCCCTATGTGTGGTAAATACATAAGGGAAATTAACCCTATACAGTTTTTCCCTATATTCAACACATACATTAACTTGTGCGAGAGTGTTGAACTGTCCAGAACCAACTTTACAGTAATTATCTATTAGAGAATGGATTTGAGTCTAACTTAATTCTTTAAAACCAGCTTATAAGGTCAAGTTTGCATCTACTTGTAATTTGATCATATCATTGGTTGAAGTGGTATTTCCAACATATCCCCTCACGCTGAGGACCAAACATCTCAAGACTGTATTTGTGGATAGTCCAATAGTGTGATCCGAGAACGGATAGCACAATAATACCCAAGAACCTTGCTAAGATAAGTTCATATCTCTAGTTGAGGAAAATCTTCAACATTATAATACATTAGGACACATTCTATATATAGTCTTATTTAGGAAAGTTATTTTGTTGTTTAGCCTATAAAATGTAAGGTCTTGTACAATTCATTACATTTAAATAAAAAAATATATTAAGCAATTTAAGTTCTTTCTTTTAATGACAAATGCAAAATTTCAAATCCTAAAAGTAGTCACAATTACATTTGATCATGGTATTGAACTCATGAGTCAAGTCGGTAACTCGGATAAGTTTGCATGTTTAGTGATTGGTCACAAGTTAACTCGTGAGTAGACATGTAGAGTCGAAGTAAACTCGGTTAAACTCAAGCTGACTTGTGAGTTTAAGACTGAGTCACAAGTCCGACGGTGACTAAGGTTTCTTCTTCTTCCCCCATTTCATTACTCTCCACCATTCCTCTCTTTTTCCATTCAAACTCATCTTGTTGCACGCATCCTTGTCAAACATGTCGTCCTCATCTTTGTGCCTTGTGTTCTGCTCATCTCTCTCCTTTGCGTGACGTGTCTCTCTCCTCTGTGTAACACAATCTAGTTGTCTTTTTCGTGGGATGCAAATTTGATAGTTCCTTTGCTCAAATGTATGCAATTCGTCTTCTCCATATGATGTGATCTAGTATCTCTTGATATTCATGTGTGGGCTGCTTGGGTTCTCTTCTTTTTCTCGTTCATTTTGTTTTTCTATTTCTTTCATATATGATTAGTTTTTTTCTTCACATTCATTCTCATCTTCCTATTTTCTTTCTTTATTAATTTTCTTATATGTTTTAAAATATTATTTTTTATTCCGTTTTAGTTGTTTTTCTTTTAAGGAATTAGGATTTTTAATTCTCTATTTCTATTTGTTTTTATGAATTAGTTGTTAAAATTATAAAATGTCAGTAGTTGGGATCAATTTAATTTTTTTTATGTCAATATACCTACGTAGTCAATTGTTTAAGTAAAAATGCAAAGAGATAAAATAAATATTAGGTAGTAATATGAAGTAGATATTTTGGATAATTAAAAAAATTAAATATAATTATCACTAAAAGATGTTTAGTAGATGAACTTTCATAAAAGATATTTATTTTCATACGAAGACTCTTACGAATCTACATATTGAGTTCAAGAAACTCTTATGAGTGTATATAGACTCCCGAATATGATAACCTTGTATTTGATCCATTTTATGTGCATGATCAACATAATTGGAGATTTCAAACCAACATTGGATTTTGCTGAAAAGGGATTAAATAAATTTCACCAATGGCATCAAATACCTTTGTCTTGTTATATTAGTGTCAGGTGATCTAAATTTCTATAACAAAATACATTAATCAATGAAGTATGCAACAAGTAGCTAATATTCCTCTAAATATCGTTATAAAAGTATCGCAAAATACCTGCACTTGAGCATTGTAGTATCAAGAAGCAACTCAAGCTTTTCTTCCATATAACCTAGCTAAGAGTCAAAACATTAAACCCCAATTAGATAAATATATTATATAATATAAAGTGCATGCTTCAGTATCAAATCTTTTAAGGAATAAAATCAAACATTAGTTACTATGTTTTGATACACATATAAAGAATCTAGCATTTGTCAGAATTTTTTTAAAACTTAAACTTTTGACTAAAACTTCCCCATGAGAGAGAGGGTGGGAATCCAAGATTTAAAGTTATAGAATTTTTTTCTTATTATCTTTCTCATTCCTGAGAAAGTTTTAGACATCAAACATATTTATGACATTATGAGGAAACATAATTCCCAAGAAACATGATTCATATGAATGCAAAAATACCAAACACCCTTTAATGATATTGATAGCAACTTTGAAAATACAGAAAAGTTTGAGAAAATTACCGTTCTAGAGAGTTCATTGGAATATTTCTTCACCATCTCCACGACCTCCTCACTATCATTCTCTAGTAGTAACTTAACATCATCACTAATCTAAAAAAACAAATGGATGAAAGCATGTTAGTTTCATTTTGAAGCACATTTTTGTGCATGTAACATTGCATGAATTAAGAATATAAGTATATTTCTAAGCATGTAGTTGAATATAGTGTGCACAACCTTAGCCTTAGTATGGATAGTGTAAAGTAATTTTCAACCACAAATGACATCTTTGGCACTCTTAAATTTAGAAGGAATAATATTGTATCAATTATGAGGTCATTGGAATTATAAATACATGAGTTAGCTGGTTATTTTAGGAAATATGTACAGTTAATTCTAAGGAGACAAATCCCTATGATTATGGGATTGTTTCTAATTACATAATCCTAGTATTAATTAGCAAGATACGACTGTAATAAAGAACAAAATAAAGACAAGGGTAAAATACAAAACTTCCTAAAATAAACAATTAATAACACAGTTTTGACAGTAAATAATGATTGTTTGAACATAATTTTAGGGTTTTTAGCATATATAACTGAACCTATCCCAACCTTCTGAAACTACAAAAAAAATCTTGCCCTGACCTGATTAACAAGTCAAACTTTAAGAATATGGAAACTTCAACATGTATTAAGAACTGCAATTCATTTTTGACCATTCATAAGAACCTCAAGAGAACCACATCTCGAAAGCTAGCTAATGTAGTGGGAGTGTCCAAAATAAATCTCCCACTAGAATCCCATACTCTAGATTTGGATCCTAACATCCCACCATGCTCCACATCCTTAATGCAGATGCAAGTTGACTTTACACTAGCCCTTTGACTAGAACCTCGAGCACACACTACAATACCAACATCACCACTTGTGTAGCTTGTCTACCTTGATATGCCCCACATGAACGGTTTGTTTCTAGAAATGCCAAACATCACTATGAATTCATATATAAGCCCATATCGTGTCTTGAATAATCTTCCTTTCATGCTCCTCTAAGAATATGATTAGGTGGCCACATACCCCTACTTAGATCATGTATGATAAGACAAGCACCAATAAACTTATCAAGTATTTCTTCTAATAAAAAAATAGTTTGTCTTCATCACTGTGATCTTCATTTTCCCTTCCTAAAAGCATGTGGTACTTTGCCATCATGGAAATTAGAATCCATTTGCCACTACAATCAAACTCAAGTCTAGTGGCTTGGGGGTTGGTGGGGACAAGGGTGAAGTCTATTTAACAATAATATCCAAGACCAACTCTAAAACTTCATTTTGTCTTGGCTCCATTACCAAGTTGTCAGTCATAGATGCAACAAAGATTAATAATAAATACTCACCTAGCAAATTTGCATCCAAAAGCCATTCCACTCAACCTGATGGTTAAATCTTCATCTTGCTTAAGCAACTATACTTTTGGGTCATCTAAAAGAAAATGGCCTTCGCAACCCTCATTCTTCACAATCTACATCTAGTAAAAAAAACTTCACTTTCATAGTGTTTGTCCCTCTTCATGGAAATATCAACTTCTTCCTCCATCATAACTTGTTCAATCTTTGTTTCCCTTACTAATTTTTTTTTCACCATTTTTAGATTCTTCTTCATCACAAAAGTTGTGGTTCTTGATTAGTAAACCTTCAAAAGTTCATAATTCAACTTTCTCGACCCAAGGATAAGGAAAAAAGTCATGTTCATCTTCAGACCCCACTATTCTCCCCTTTTTTGCTAATTTCTCATCTTTATTAATGGAATGTCTCCCTCAAAAACTCAGTTTCTTGTTTTTCATTTGTAGTAGCATATTTTTTATGTCATCCATATAGGTTCTTAATCCTTTAGTTTCCTACCATGTTTTGCCAGTTCCACACCGTGTTATGCCAATTGTAGAGATTGCTCAATGAGAGTGTTCTCCATGCTCCCACTCAATTTTCCATCATGATTGGATATTCGACAAGTTGGACTAATTTGATTGGAACAAATAAATGAAAAAAAAAATATATATTGAATAAGATGAAAAGAACAATGAATAGGAGAGAAATCTCTTGTAAGGGTTTTCCCTTTGTCACAAAGCCAATGCTAAATTTACAATAACAACAAGTACAAATCTCTCATATCCTTCTAACTAACCGCTCTAACCAAGTAACTAACCAATTAATATTCTAACTATCTTAATAAACTTCTTCTCCTTATATCCTAACATCCATACACATTTACCAAGAACCATCTTTCTTTGGAGCTAGGAAAGTTGGCCGAGAAGAAGGATTTTATCTCACACATTGGATGGATATTAGAAAACACCACCTATTTTTGCATCTAATTTTTTCATCCAAGACGCATCTTATAGGTTGATATTGGTGCTTCTAGCCGCAATCCATATATATATATCACATAATGCACCTATAATCACATCCAATTGTGGTTATGGTGCATCAGATCATAATGCAACCACAACTTAAAATCATTGCTTTCATATTTGTTAAGATCTAAAAATTCATCAATTGCTATTGATAAAGGCGGTAGTTTAAGTTATTGATCTAACCAACCAATGTGAATTCACCATCTAAATTATTGACTCAATACAACCTTAATAAACAAAGCATACATGACTCCATTTCCTTACTCAAATGCAACAAGTGTTATCAATATCAGGTAGTGAAAAAAAAATCTACATCTCAAAAATCCTTTATGAAAATATTGGATGCCATAATGGGTTATGGCGAAAGCATAGTAGACAAAAAAAATTAATATATATACATGTGATAAATGTCTAGATTTAATAATGACAAGTCTAGAATTTCAGGTTCAAGTTCTATGAGTTAACAAACATAGATAAATGTCATAAATTTCTATTCATCTTGCTCTTTCTCAATCATAATATAATTATCTTTGATGTTATCCAATGGAAGATATCCCTCCATGATGGGTGCATGAATGCTAATTACCAAGACTTATGCCTTCAAAGAGGGTCACTAGAAACATTCCAACCCTTTTTGGACATCAACATGTCTCATTCTTTTTTATTTCTCTAGATTTTCCTTACTTGTAATTTTAATCTTTTGGGTGCGCATGTCCACTTTGGGCTTGGGTCTCAATCTTTGGCCTTTTTGTATGTGCTAATACACGATCAACCACGACATAAAGAAGATAATTGGGCTACCTATGAAGCCCGTGAGAGGAATACACACATGCAACTCATATTTAACTCATGTTAAATGTGAGAAGCATGTGCACATGGGTGGGATCCACCAAATTAGGCACATATGAGAGAAGATTTGAATTTCAAAATTCAAATCTCCCTACATTCTTTTGTTCCCTTCCCTTCCATAGCCAAGCACACTAAAAATACCCCACACCCTTCTTTGTATTTCACTTATTAAAGATTAATAGAGTTTGTGAGTTTTGTTGAGATCTTGAAAGCTTGATTTATATCTTACTTGAAAACCCAAGAGTATGGGAAGATATATTACCTCATAAAGTTTACTTATAATAGAGTGGTTAATTCCATTACCTCCCGTACACCTTTTGCCATGAGTATGATTTTAATCCTCTCACACCTCTTGACCTTCTTCCTCTTCATGTCCTTGATTCTATGTTGTGCAAATATGAGCCAGAAAAAGATGTTTTTGCTAGAGACTTGCACGCTAAAGTCATAGCCCAACTTGAAAAGAAAGTAGGCCAATATGTTCAACATGCCAATAAGGGACGCAAAGAATTGATTTTTCAACCTGAGGATTGGGTCTGACTTCACTTGAAAAGAGATAAATTCTCTGATCAAAGGAAGTCTAAACTTTTAACTTAGGGTGATGGTGCCTTTTAAATTATAACATTGCTTATAATTTAAATTTCCCATCTTATTATATTGTTAGTTCTACTTTCAATGTAAGTGGTCTAACTCCTTTTGCTACAAGTGTTGGCAATTCATGAATGAATTCATTCCATTCCTAGGAGGATGATGTATACATAAATGGGTCACTACCAGGACTTGTGCCTTCTAGAGGGTCTCTAGAAGCATGACATATTTCAACTTTCTTGGACATCACTATGTCTCATTATTTTGTATTTATCTAGATTTTTCTTCCCTATAATTTTCATCATTTAGGTGGGCTTGTATATTTCGGGTTGGGACCTCAGTTTTGGCTTTTGTTCAGACTACTACAAGATTATCCACGACATAAGAGAATTGAGCCACATGTGAAGCTCATCAGACGTATAAACATTTGCAACTCACATTTACCACATGTTAAATGTGAGAAATGTACACATGGGTAAGATCTACCAATGCGGCGCATGTGTGAGAAGATTTGAATTTCAAAATCCATATGTCCTTCTGTTCCTCTCTTCTCTTCCACAAGCATACTATTAATACCCCACACCACTCTTCATATCTTACTTGAAAACAAGAGTGTGGGAAGATCTATTATCTCACAGAGTTTACTTATAATAGAGTGTGCAATTCCATTACCTTCCGTGCTCCTTTGAAATAGTGTATGATTTTAATCCTCACACCTTGATAACACATATTTTGTATATACATTTATAGATTTATTATATAGTGAATACACTTTTCATATCCTTTATTTTCAATTTTAAACTCATTTCCATTCAGTAGTAATAAATTGGGTTTAATGTACATATTTGCCTTAATTTTGTATTTTCAGTTTATCTAACCTTTGCTTACTATTTTGGCCATCAATTTTTTTATAGATATTATTTTTAGTTGATTTAAGTTGCATTGGATGCTACATTTTCAAGGTTTTGAAACGGATATATGATTTGCTGGATTTTGAGTTTTCTGCTATTTTCTACAATTCTTAAAAGTTGAAGAAAAATTGATAAAATCTTGTAAACCAACCCATGCAAATTAGATATCCTTTGTATTAACTTAACTTTTGTAATTGGACTTATAGACTTAATTAGAGATCCATATTTAGGCTTGTATTTGCTTCAAATTTGAAAGGCTTTAAATAGAAAAAATGTGCTCTAAACTCATATTCAGAAATCATTTTATTAGATTTTCAGTTTAGGAAGTGTCTCTACATCTTCTCTTTTCCTTCTTTTCTCCCATTTTCGTTTTGACTCTTTCTCTTCTCTTCTCCAAATTTGATTTGTGTTTTTCATCAATGGAGAACTAAATCTTGAAGATTAATTCATGGAATCAAGATTAAGCAAGTCGAATTAAGTTTTGCACCAACTATTTCTAGCTCCAAATTTGTTGTTTTCTTCTGTAATCTCGATTTTGCATTTTATGATATCAATTTGTGATTCTAATTATAGAAATCAAATTAGGAATTGATTGAATCTTGATTTGATAATTAAATACAAATTAAATTGAATGATGCTTTGATTTAATTCATACCAATTTAGTTGATTAATTCAATCAGTTAATTGTTCAAACTTAAATTGAAATCTTTAAGGAACTATGAGAGGATTGTTTGGTTGTGAATTTGTGCATTGATCTATTCCTATCTTCTGTTTTCAATTTACTCTTTGACTTGTGTTTCAATTGCCTTTTACATCTCTAAATCCCTAAAACCCCAAATCTAACTTGTACAAAATAAAAACTAAAAATTGCATATATTTCAATTCATGTCAATGAGAAATATGATCTAGGTTTCTGTTCTATATTACAAAATATTTAAAGAAAACTTATAATATTTGATTTCAAGAACAACAGTTAAATCACACCTCTTGTCTATAGTTTCTTACTAATTTTTTCACAAGTGTTCTTCAACTTCTTCATATATTTGTGCTTCTATTCCCATATATTTCAACATTCTAGCTCTTAGATGCAAACCTTAACATTTTAATCGAACTTGGATTAAATTCGTGTCCAATTACAAACATCTTTGAGTTGCATATTGACTCTTAAATAAAAAATCTAAAAACAAACATTTTATCAAATACTTTCCATACAAGTCTAGAAGTGACTCGTATCGCTTCTCCTTTTCCAAGAAAGATTTGTTAAAGGTAATAATTGTTGAAAGTCCCACATCGCCTACCTCATATCATTTGGTATGGTTTAAATACATGTTAGGCTACTCCACATATTGCCAATTGGTTTTATGTTGGAACCTTAACATGGTATCAGAGTCAAAGCCTAACATCTTTCCGGTTATTGTCATGGGCCAAAAGTTGCCCTTTAGTTGGGTCAAAAGTACCCTTTGCCTGGTCCGGCAGGCTTCGTTGGATGGGGTGTGTTGAAAGTCCCACATCGCCTACCTCATATCATTTGGTATGGTTTAAATACATGTTAGGCTACTCTACATATTGCCAATTGGTTTTATGTTGGAACCTTAACAATAATTCTTTAGTATCTTCATACTCAAAATTAGAGCTCTAATAATTCCAACATTAATTACAAACAATAGTGTTTAAGTTAGAGTCAAAATTAAAGCTATATTAATCACCTTGCGGATGTGGTGGTCATCGTGACTATTGCAATAGTGGTGGCAGTGACAATGACGTGATTAAACAACAACAATGACGGCTTAGGTGTGCAGTGAGGGAAGAAAGTGGGGTGACATTTGTGGGTGATGAGAAGTGCAAAGTGTAATGCACTTCTAACTTTTTTTTTTCTAGTTGTAGATTTGGGTTGGGTTTTATAACCCAACTCTTTATCTACCTGTTATTGGGTTGGGTTTCATATAGATTCAATCGAACAACCCACACAAACAAAAAAGACACAGTTTAAAAACGAAATCTAGGTTAGTTCTAGCTTGGGTTAGGTCGTGCAAAACCAAGACATCTTCCTCCTCTTGACATTTCACGAGTAGTGAGACTGCAAGAGTGAGATTTTCATTACAACTGCTCCACACCACCATATCACACTACCAAGGCAAACGTCATAGGCCTCCATACAAAATCTACTTGCAATTTCCACCATGGCCATTTTTCAATAACACTAACTTTCACCTAAGAACATTCATTCAAGATCTTATCTTGTATATGTTCATTAATCCATTTCCTCCAAAAAAAAAACAAATAGGTTAAATGGTGAGGCTCAGTCGTCAATTTTCAATGCAAATTTGTCATCTTGAAAAAAAAAAAAACTTTATGTTTTTTGGAAAAAGGAAATGAAGAGGAGGAATCCCATAAATGGTAAACACAAATATTTATCCAATTAAGATTTTATGATTTTTAGTAAAAGAATAAAAGAATATATCAAATCAAATCCTTGATAAAAAAATTTACCTTGCTACTGCATTGGGGATTGACATTAGTAGTTTGTTCAAGAAACTTGGCTGAAGATGAAGATGAGGACACATTTAGCTTTTTACTATGACCTTGCACAACATCGTTAGATACACTCGGAGTACCATTCACTGAATGTGATTTACATTTTAGCTTGGATTGCAAATGATATGTCGCAAAAACAGGCTCAACCACCTGCTTTTTCATTTGAATAGTCAATAACATGTCTAAATACCATAAACAATTCCTAAAGATAGCAAAACATGTACAACTGAAGCAGGTAAATCACATGCATAAATTTTGAAATGGAAGCCATGAGAATAAATTTAATAGGAATAATCAAATATTCCCAGATAGAATTTCCCAAACTATATCCTTCGTCGGTATCATGTAATAATTTGGGATTTGGAGGCGGTGGGATGCAAAGGAAGGGGGATAGGTGGCCTGTATGATGATGATTGAACCTTCAAAATTGCATCGCAATCTTATAGACTAGGTTGATGCCAATTGAGCTATGTCGCTAATTGATCAATATTATTTGATTTGAATATGAAGGATCATAAATTAAAACTTTATTAAAAGATCCCTCTTAATAAATGATCGAATGGGAAATAAAGCAAATAAAAAACAAGATTAATAGGAATATCGTACGTAACTGATATGGGAAGTAGCTATAGTGATGAGTCATCAACATCTCCAACATTGCGTAATAAAAAGAAAAGGTTCAAGGTGCTTAATGTACCTCATCAACTTCAGAAGAAAGAGAAATGACACTCTGTCTGAGAAGGGATTTTAATCTGTCCTTTTTAAAATCGGAAAGCCCAGCACCAACACCATTACTATATAGCGGACCAGAACAATTTCCACTTTGATTGACTAAATTCTGTTTTCTTCCTTCTTCATATTTACTTTTAGGTAGCTCAGGTAATTCGTTTGAAACAGGAAGAACATCCTCATCTAGTGACAATAGATTTACAACTTCAGCAGAGTAATACCCAAAGTAATCAGGTCCTACTCTTTCATATTTGTCAGATGTAGTGAAACTTGAGTCATTCGACATGACAGAAAATGGTGCAGCTCACCAAGTGTCCGCTACATTAACAACAAAAAGGTTCAAATTAGATATACTAGATACTAGTCAATGACTAGAAAACACTCATCCAACAAGAAACTAAACTAAATTTAGATAAGAGAGAAAAGAGGATTACCTAATGGCTGTAAGAAACGATCACAGATGATAATTCTCTGGCATAAATTTGTGCTCTGGGCATGTTCAGGCAGTCACCTTAGTCTGGGTAAAACACCAAGTCATGTGTCAGTCGAATTAAAACACCCAGAAATGGTATTTTTTTTTTTATGAATACAATGATTCTTATTTCGCAAAAGCAATAAAGAATATGAAAAAATGTTGAGAATGATAGAAAAAAAGGCACCCATATGGTGAAATTTACCTAATAAGAAAGCTAAATGATATCTAGCAAATGAACATATACAAGAAGAATAAATCCTACAATATCATAAAATATACTCTAAAATATTCTAAGATAATATCGTTAGATATTTCATATATTTCCAACACTGCCTCAAGCTTAAGCTTATATTATGCTTTAGTTTTTTACAAAAGTAACTTACTCTCTAACAAATTAAAAATAATAATAAAAAAACATAAAAAATTGAGATAAAGCTGATACTCAGGGTAAGTGCACATGGGAAAAGCCAAGTCCAATGCATCTGGGACAAAGCCTTGTCTAGTACAATTCAGAAAAAGCCTTGTCTAGTGCATTGGGAAATGAACAAACACTCCAAAATTTCCTTTCATGTGGGTGAGAATGTGTAGGAAGAGCCATTGTCCAAATTATGCATATTTATCTTCTACTGATATGGAAGAGACTATAAGCCTTATGTTGATGACTCATTCTCAAACAAATAAAATACCGTGTATCTAAAGTAACAATACTGAGGTTGTCACAGAATATGAGGATTGATAATAGACACACACAACTCCGTCAGTAGTGACTGAATCCACAGAATTTTTGAAGACTGAGCCAAACTTCTATACTAAACTTTTGCACTACAACGTGCCACAATTTATTGTTTATTTAACCACCAAAATATTATATTAAGGCCAAAAAAATACATTTCCAATCAGCAGCACAATATGTTGTTAAGTAGATAGATGATCAGGCTTTAGTAACGAGTCATGCAGTAATCCTTTTAAGTATATTAGAACCTCTTGACTATGTCCAATACTGCACCAGAGATTGAGAAACAAATGCACAGACCTTGACAAAACTAATTTCACACCTCGTGGTAGCAAATTAAAGGCCCCTACAAAGGATTTGAACAGTAAGGAAATTTCCTTGTAATTAGACCATCACCTGAAGCACTCCCGATCGTAGGAGTGGAAATGCGTAGTCTAAATCATGTGAGCCTTGTCAAGTAAGTCTCAAAAATAATTGGCCTGGGGGTAAAAGTAGTACCCATTCTTTAGATACCTAGCTTTGAAACACTTCTTTAGATAGCTAACTATGAGACGCTAATACTTCAATTAGTTTCATAAATCTCTATCTAATGCTCATATTCTTGGATACTTCATTGATATCTTCATCTATAAGTATTCTTAGAAAGTAGAATTTATGTTAACTCTACTTACTAGTAAAATAAAGTTTACACTAACTTATACATTATAAATTGATCATATCTAATCGATACGGAATCCCCAACACACGCTCAAGGAAGATTGGACATCTTGAACATGGGATTAGAAAGTTGTAACCATAGGTGAACTTTTAAGTCTTACTTAATCTTACAAAAACTACTTGTATGGTCAGATTTACACTTAATAATATATTTTATTTTAGTCTTATAAGTAAGAAATGTGAGATTTCCAACACTCCTTCTTTGAAGCCCTCAAATATGGGACTAGATTTTTATGGGTGGTCCACGTATAAGCCTAGCAAACCTTATTAGGATAAATTCTGATATCATCTATAAAAAAAAAGAAGAAGTAAGTTTTAAATGATAGTCAATATCACAAAACTAACTTGAAATTTAAAACATTAAAAAAAACTAAAAAAAATCAAAATTAACAAATTGAATAGTCATATAAGATTTATGTAAGGAAGGAAGAAGAAAAACAAAGAAAAATATGTTTTGGATTATTAAGTTGAAGATTTGGATCTATTGCACAATCATTCAAGATCAGTTTTAGCAAATTAGACCTTAAAAAGAGTAATTTAGACCTGAGTTGTCCAAATTGAATAATGTATATGGTTAGATCATTGGTATTGAATCTAACAAAGGATAAAAATAAAAAAACTATTGATCGCGCAGGACAAAAATCAAAATCTAATCTCATCTAACAAAACCTAACCTCTTTGAAAAGTAAATGGGGCTCCACTTTGTCTGCGCATGTCGGCCCCAGATCGATAGGGCACGATGGCTTGCCGCAAGTGCTAGTGGAAACTGCAAACGAAGAGAAACAACGCTGACGAAGAAGGTAGAAGGGAAGATGAAGGTAGAGGAGGAGACAGTGATTGAAAATGTAGTTTAGTAGACAGAATCACTATTATCATGAATTGAAAGATAAGAGGACGGAAAAGATAGAAAATATTTAATGATAATAATAATAATAATAAAGAAGTTATACAAAGAATATCAAATTATTTTATTTGAAAAAAAAACAATAAGTAATATTATAATTTCTTAAATATAAAAAATAATATAACTAAAAAGTTATTATAATTATAATAATATAATTATTTTATGTTTTATTTTTTTAGTATAATAAATATAATTATTATAATTTTAAAATTAAAATACAAAATACAAAATATGATAAAACAAAATGTAAGATTTAAGATATACATAAAAATAATAATCAACACAAATAAAAAAAATTATCCTAATGTTAATATTTAATTCATCTATAACTATGTAATTACATATATAAATTCATATATTTATTTTTCTATATTTAAGGACTAATTTACTAATATAAAACTAATTTAAAAAATACAAAGATAAAAACACATTTAACTTATTAAGTTTTATAAGTATGAATTGTAAAAATAAAATGTACGAAATTGCTATATATATATATATATATATATATATATATATATATATATATAATCATTATAATGGTAACAATTCAAATATAACAAATAACTTATTAAAAGGATATATTTAAAAAATAAATAAAAATGTCTAATAATTAAAATATATAAAATCAAATACATATTTTAATCTAAAATAAATGTTTTATTTATATTATTAAATTTATATTAAATAATTTTAGATAATAGATCAATATATAACTTTATCAATTATTACACAAGATCTTAATTATATTTTTTACTCTATAATAAATAATTCATATTGAAATACATAACTATGTTTAATTATTAATATATATTTTTTAAGCTTTTGAAATTTAAAATTATAAATAAAAGATAAATAGAAAATACAAATAAAAGATAAATTAAAATATGAAAATAATTAAAACAGAAGTATTATTTTAATCTCTCAAAGATTTCCATAAAGAAGAAGGTAAGATTATATATACGAGTGATTATTTGAAGTATTATTACATTTCCCTCCACATGCGAAAACATTATAATGTTTTAATTTGTAAAACAAAATTAATATTTTAAATGATGAGAATATGAACGGTGTGATGGTAAAAATTAGAGTTATTCTTATTAGATTATTTAGGTAACAAAATAATATTAATTTGAAGGTTTAATTATATTGATTATTTGGATATATAATGATTTTCTCTTATGATTTTAAGATATTGATGTTGAATATTTTTTAATTTAATAACATTAAATCCAAAGAATTTTATGTTTTTTTTTTTATCATGTACACAATACACAAATTAGGTAGGTAAATAAGTCCCTAAATTTGGAGTTAAATTTTACTACAAATGAATAATCTTACTATGTTACCCAAGTGCATTAAGTATTAGTCGAGGTTTGTTCGGTTAGAAATTTAGTTGAATCATACTCAGTTTAGAGTTTTTTCTTATATGAGCTTCTTCCAGGACCTTGCCTGATTTATGCTGGTTCTAGAGTTTAGTGTCTTTTTATATTGCTTGCCTCTCTTTAAATGTTTTGACATGTAACAATGAAGGATTTTATTTAGGTATGAAATGTTACCCTTAATTGTGTCATCAAGGTTATTTTTTATTTTATTTTATTTTTTACTCAAAAGCTGAGCCTTGGATTAGGTAAAGCCATGGATATGCAACATTTTCACACTAAATATTGTGTCATTCATCCTTTACTGTGATTCTAACTATTTTTTAGTTTGTTGTTTCCTTTGTTATTGTTTCTGAATATGTTTGCTTCTTTTCTTGTTTGTGTGTCTTTCAATGAACTTTGTATCGTTTTATTATTTTTAATTAATTAAATAAGAGTTAATTTATTAAATATTTTTTTATAAATTATATATTTTATATTTATAAGTATTTTAAAATAATAATTTAAAAAATAATTAACTTATAAATATAATAAATACTTGAATATAATATTATAATATAATGATAATAATATAAATATTCTATATCAATATAAAAAAATATTTAACATTTATTTTACATATATAAATATAATAAGTTAAAGTACATACTTAATTAATAACAATAACTAAAAATTATAAAATTATCAATAGTTATTGTTTTTATAAAAAAATACATACAAAATATTAAATTTAATATATTATAAATCCTAAATCCTAAATTTTAAAGCTCTACTATAATAACATTATTTCATCATTCCTCTGCAACATAAGTTTATATTATTCCTTTGTTACTTTGTGAGAGCAAACTCCAAAGTTTTTACTACTTTTTTATTATTATTTTTGTGACTTAACTTCAATGGTTCCAACGAAACGTTATTTTCTAATTTTTTTTTAGCAAAACATTGTCTTTTATTGTTGTTCTTTCTTATAATAATTTTAAGTGTGTTAAAGACATTTGTTATGAAGAGAAATATTTGGAGAAGAAGAAAAAAAAAGAGAATAGTTGAATTATGATGAATAAATGTAAAAAAAGAA